CCCTCCTTCCACCGCTTCTGGGGCCCAAAGAGCGCCAGGGAGACCCCGAACCTCCGGCGCTCCTCTGCCCTGTCCTCCACCACCCGGCTCAGGCCCCCGCCCCGCAGGCTCTCCCTCCCGGGCCCGGGCCCCTCCCCGCCCCCGGCTCACCGCCGCCCTCCCGCCAGTGTCTCCCCTGCGGCCCCGGGGGCAAAGGCCGCTGCTTCGGGCCCAGCATCTGCTGCGGGGACGAGCTGGGCTGCCTCGTGGGCACGGCCGAGGCGCTGCGCTGCCAGGAGGAGAGCTACCTGCCGTCGCCCTGCCAGTCGGGCCAGAAGCCGTGCGGGAGCGGGGGCCGCTGCGCCGCCGCCGGCATCTGCTGCAATCCGGGTGAGTCAGGCTGGGGCCGGGGCGGGACCGGGACACCGGGACCAGGCGGGGCGGGCCGTGGCGGGCCCTGACCCGGCGTCTCTCCATGCAGACGGCTGCCGCGGCGACCCCGCCTGCGACCCCGAGGCCGCCTTCTCCCAGCTCTGAGACCCGCCGGCCCCCGACACCGTCGGAGCGCAGCCCTCGCTCCCTCCGTAGCCACCCCCAGGAATTATGACTATTAAATAAAGCAGATTTTTTCCCCTCCAACCCGACTCGCGTCTAAGTGTCAGAATTGGGAAGGGAGGGCTTTGGGGGAGTCGAAGATCGCCGGCTCTCGGTGCTTCAAAGGGAATTAAAGCTGCCACCCCGAGGGGAGAAGGGTGCCGTTCCGCGGTGACCTCCTGTAGGGGTGGAGGGAGGAAGGAGGGGGACAACACGGCTGGCTCCCAGGGAGATGGAAACAGCCCCCTGCTTCCCACTCCAAACAGAGCTGGGGGCCTACAGCAGGCTGGACATGAGGGGAACTTTCTAAGGTCCAAAGCGACAGAGTAGGGCCTGCAGAGATAAGAGTCTGACGGGGCACCAGAGGAAGGGCAGGAGATTGGTCGCAGAGAGTGAAAGACTTCCTGACAACTGGAAGCAGGCTTGGGCCACACGTGAGGGCTGGCCTGGGGGAAGGGAGCTTGGCTGGGGCAGCCGAAGGGCCTTCACGTTTCCAAGGAGCTGGACTCCCAGGCCGCAGGAGGCCACCTGTACTCTCAGAAGGGGTGGCCAAGCTGGGGAGGCTGGGCGGGAGGGCCAGCACCACCCACCCCTGTGGCTTGTTGTCCCACCCAGGAGGCCCTGGGTTCCCAGTGTTGCATGGAAGCCAGGAGCCCTGCTCCTGACTGTGCAGTAAAGAGACGTGACAGCACTGGGGACCCTGCAGAACAGGGGTTCCTGAGAGCCCATAGCCACAGAAATGACCACAAAATGCAGAGGACACTAACAGAGAGACTCCTGCAACCTACACTTCTCATCCGTTCCTGGATCAAAGACCATTTTGGAGCAGCTATAAAAGCCTAACCCCTCTCCCCAAGAATGTGCCGCTGTTCACTTACTCATGCTGTGGGACAAAAGTGAGTTCAGAAGGTGCATGCCCACACACCCACTCCAAATAAAACAAGAGCACATCACTATATGTTAGTAATTTTTATATGTTATTTCTGTGGCTTTCTCACACAATGAAGCAATGAGGATTCACTCAGAGGCCTCCCACCCACCACAACAGTGTGTCGTCTCACAGAGTGGAGAGAGAAGTATACTGAAGAGGACTGTAAGGTTTTCTTTGTATAAATTACAAAACCAGGCAAAACTAAGCTATGGTGCTAGAGGTCTTGGGTGTGGTGCGGACAGGAAGGGGTGTAAGGGGGCTTCTGGGGGTGCTGGTCATATTCTGTTTCTTGGCCTGGGAGCTGGTAAAACAAGTGTGTTCAGTTTATTAAAATTCATTCAGATTGCACACATGTGATTTGTTCACTTTTGTATGTATATTATACTAGAATAAAAGTTTTTTAATGAAAAAATTATCATTATTACCAAGATGTATGAAGAGAAGAGAGATGAAGCTTTTGAAAGCCCCAGTGGTTCCTGACAAGGCTGTGAGAGCAGGTCCCTCCTCTTACCCCATATCTGGAACAAGAAATGATTGAAAGCTGAGTCCTGTTCAAATCAACCATGGGGAAGTATGTGATTCTCATAAATTGGTGTTTGAGAACCATGTCAAAGTTCTGTGGTCCCTCAGAAACCACACAGATGAAGAGGGAAGCAACCAGAAGGAACCACACTACTCAACTAGAGAGACACAAGGTTAGGGATTTGTGCTTTTCCAAGCTTGAGCATCCACCTGCCACATCAGCA